ATTTGCAATTTTTCTAAAAAAGTGTTGCCAACATTCTGACAGATGATATTCCTATTGCTCCTAATGGATCAATCAAGCAAATTAACAGTAAGAAATCTATGGATTTAGATGGAACACTTAATAGTGTTGAAGCTGAATTTGCTGCGTACATTAAAGCAAATGATTTCCAGCTCAGAAAATAAATCTCCTTATGGAAAGGGAGGATTATCTCTACAAAATCATAATTTTAATGGACTCGTAGATGATATGAAATAGTGTAAAACAGGTTTAGGAGGCTCTACAAAAAAAGTATGACACTGAGGAAGATGGAATAAAGAAGTATGTCGTTAGCCACTACCTAAAGTATCCGATGGTATAACTGAAAGGTGCGTAAGAGCTCATTGTTATGAACTTCAAAATATTGCTTATAAGATCATCACAAAAGGTATGCGTTTAGATTGAGCAATTTGAAATTTCTTTTATTATTGACAAGTTGCCCTAGCTTGAAAGCTTTTAAAAATTCTGCTTCACCATAAAACAAAAGAATTTTTAATTGAGTGTTTGATTATTCGCCTTCGAGTTAAAGCAAAATCTTATAGACAAAATCAAAAGGAAAAGTCTTGATTATTTCAAACAGAAAAAAAATTGGTGTAGTTCTGAAGCCATTTGGCAAATGATTAAGTAATTAGAAATGCAATGTTGTAAACCAAATTAAGAATGAGAACTCTTCAAGGGATCCAAATACTCCTATTGATAAGCAACAATCACCACCATAAAGATATAAAATTGGTGTTTTCTCTTGCTTCAATTGTGGAAAATCAGGCCATATGATTTAAAAATGAAAGATCGAGTTTAAACCTTGTGTTTCTCCTAATGCATAGGTTAACTTGATTGATGAGCAATTTATTGATTTGATAGCTGAAATCAACATGATTGATGAATCTGATGGTTGGTTGATGGAGATTGGATCTTCTCGTCATGTCTATTATGATTGTGCATTGTTTAAAACATACACGAATAAGAAAGTGTTGTTGGGGGTTGTCCACACCACTAATGTTGTCGGTATTGGAGAAGTGGAACAGTGTCCACCTCTAAAAAGACTTAATCTTGAAGGATGTCATGTATACTTCATAGATTATAAAGAATCTTATTTTTGGTTTTCTTTTAAATAAGGTAGAGTTTAGTCAGCCTATTGGGGTAGGTTGATACACAATCTCAAAAAATGATATTTTTGTGAAATTACAATGTTTACGACTTTTGTTAATAAAATTGAAATTCAATTTAATAATAAAATTAAGAGACTTCGTAGTGATAGGGAAATTGGATATTATTTAAGTTTATTTAATGAATTTTATAAACAACATGGAATTGTACATGAAACAACTGCTCCATATTCTCCTTAAATGAATGGTACAACATAAAGAAAGAATATAACTCTTACTGAACTTGTTGTTGCAATTATGATAATTTCTGGTGCTGCACCTCACTGGCGAGGGAAGATTTTATTACCTATTGGTTATGTCCTGAATAGAGTTCCGAAGTAAAAAAGTAAGATATCTTTTTATGAGATATTAAAGAAAAGACAACTAAACTTGTCTTATTTGAGAACTTGGGGTTGTTTGGCTTATGTTAGAATTTCGGATCTGAAACGAGTTAAACTCGCTAGTAGAGCCTATAAATGTGTATTCATTTGGTATGCAGCAAAAAGTAACTTATATAGGTGTTATGAACTAAATGCTAACTTGATCATAAAATCGAATGATGTTGAATTCTATGAAGGAAAATTTCCTTTCAATTCGAGAAATAATAGGGGCACTAAATCAAATCACATTCATGTGAGAATAAGTACTGAAAGCAACAACGAAGTAGAAGCAGAACTTTTATGAAGTAAACGAGTAAGAGTTGCTAAAGACTATGGGCCTGATTATGCCGCCTGTATAGTGTTCGAAGATTCACCAAATCTTCAAGAAGCATTGTCATCTCTGGTTGCAGATTTATGGCAAAAAGCTATTAACGATGAGATATTCTCTAAAGTCTAACATGACTTGACATTTAGTAGATTTGCCTCATGGCCAATCGGATGTAACTAGGTTTTGAAAAAGAAACTAAAGCCTTATAGAATTGTTGATAAGTATAAGGCTCTCCTTGTAGCCAAAGGTTTTAGGCAAGGAGAAAATATAGATTTTTTCTACACTTTTTTTTCCAATCACTAGAATTACATTTGTTAGGGTACAAATTTCAATTGCTGTTATTTATAACTTAATAGTACACCAAATGGACATAAAGACAACCTTTTTAAATGGTGACTTAGAAGAAATCTATATGGACCAATTAAAAGGGTTTGTGATTCACGGGAAAGAAAACAAGGTATGTAAGTTAGATAAGTATTTATATGGTCTAAAATAAGCGCCTAGACAATGGAATAAATTTTGATAATTTAATGATATCGAATGAGTACAAAGTGAATGAAAGTGAAAAATGTGTTTATTACAAATCTGAGACTCACATTTGAACTATCATATGTCTTTTTATGGACGATCTACTCATATTGTCTTCTCCAAAATTTATAACCCGATTCTACATCAAACTATTTCATTAAAAATCAAAATCAAACTTATTTTCTCAATTCTAAGATGAAAAAAAGAGAGAGTCGGATCTTCGATTCACTTTTCCGATCACTTGGGCCTGAGGATCCTTTCTTAAACTTCAAGTAATCGTTATTCGTTTAAAATACTTTAACTATCTTCCATCGTTCAAAACACTTTCCAAACACAACCTCTTTTCGAGATGAAAAAGAGAGAGGGTCAAGTCTTTGACTCATTCTCCCGATTACTTGGACCCGATGAGCCTTTTTTAAGCTTCAAGTAATCGTCATCCAATCAAAACATCAACATTAATTCAACATCTCGCCACCGTGCGAACCGTCAAACCTTTTCATAAACGTGAGATATGGTGTCTTGAGACGATGCAAAATATTGCTTCGTCCGTAACCTATTTGAGTCGAGATAAGTGGTGTTTTTCTCATGAATGTTGATATATGGAAATCCATTCAAAGTGATGCATGCGTCATCTCCTCATTCGTTTGGATAAAGCAATATTTTCTTTCGAATGCGACTAAGTATCTTTCTATAAATCAAACCAACATCCATAGTCCGAACTACGGACGCTCTGATTTCTCATTTGTCAATGAGAATACGTAGGCATAAGATTGCGAGATCCTAGCGAGTAATCTTCTCTTCTTTTCTCCCGTAGTCTCGCAAACTACGAATGCTCTAACTTCTCCATTGTACGAGGGAATACGTAGGCACAAAGGCCACAATTCTTGGCGGGCACCTTAATAAAACCACTCATTTTCTCCTTAGAAATCTAATCCTTTTACCTTACCTTTTCATTTTATTTCTTTAGAAAAAACAAACAAGTTGACCTAACATTTCTCACGAATCGAATCAAGAGGTTCTCGTTGAGTACAACGGACGTGAGGGGTGCTAATACCTTCCCCTCATGTAACCAACTCTCGAACCTAAAACTTGGTTGCGATGACCATTGTTTCTTTCCATAAAGGTTTTCTCAATATTTCCCTATTCCATCTTGGAATAAATAAAATTTGATGGCGACTCTGTTTTCCGCGACCATTCGCGAAGGATCGTGTTTTTTTTTTTTTGAGGTACGACAAGAATTAATGTGAAATTGCTTGGTATACTTGCTCGAATGTGTAATTCCATATATACCATCACATCAAAGTCATAATTTAATTTGAATGGTGTTTCTTAAGGATTGGGAATGTGATATGCTTATTGCGCTCTAATGAGATCCTTTACCCATTCTCATATTTCTTTATCCAATTTTTTTCTCAATTAGTTAAGGATAATTTTGTTGGCCGATTTTACCTAGTTGTTTATTTCTGGATATTCCATTGAGGCAAATTTCAACTTGATGTAAGGTCATTTCATAAAACCCTATAACCTTTAATTCCTGAACTTAAGTTATATTTTTTGTGTTGTTTGACAAACTATTGACATTTGGCACATTTCTGGACAATTATCTTTCAATTTAATTGCATATTTGGTTAATTGTATCATAGCTTAAAAGGATCTTTGAGGCAACGTTGTAGTCTCACAATAGTTTATGCATACTCTTTCTTGGATGTCTTTCATGATGTACTCTGTCCCATTCTCCTTCAAACACACTCTCCTGTCCTAAAATAAATGCACATTGATAAAAATTATTTATCTCAAAATAAATATTGCTTTTAGTTTTTAAATAAATTTTTAGTTTTTATCTTTTAATTGTATTTTCTAATTAATACTCAAACATTACTGTGTGTCTCACATTTGATAATTAAAATACACTAATACTCAAGGTAGAATGAGTAATTTTGACTTCAGGGTGGTTTCAGTCAAAACAAACAGTTCAATCCACTTGAGATGGCGCAAGAAGCTGCTGAGATTGTTTATAAATTCAGTCTAGCCAACGCCCACCAGCAGAACAGGGAGAAAAGCCATCAAGATATGTACACAATTCCTGCTTCAGTTGAGTTTATTGCAAAGGTGGACTTCAATCTTTTTTGTTTGTGCTTATGGCGTTGAATATTGGTAGTGTTACAAATGTGTTTGTTTTAAAGAATTTTGGAAGCATTAAATCATCGACGCCTCTTCATACGCCGCATGTGACTCCACTTGCTTGAGCTGGCTTTCTCAAGGTACTGTTTCTGTTTACTCTCTCTTTATGGATTGTGATGCCATTGTTACCTTTTTTTCTCTTAATTTTTCGTGTATCAACATAATTATATGCTCCAACACCGTGCCTTAGATACTATACAATTTAAGGTTACCATAATTGCCATGAAAATCAAAAGAACTCAAATATTAAAATATATTTTGATTCTTGAATATATAATGCAAATATATGCCAAAGGAGAATTATCACCTGAATATATAATGCAAATATTATTATCAGTACATAGAACTCAATATTTTCTCAGAGTTTATTGAAATTTGATCTTAGCAACAATAAATATAACATTACATCTTGATAACAACTTTCACACAATCGAGCTGTTTCAGTATCTCAAATGCTTTGTTTATGTCAATCAAAGGAACCTCATGTGTGAAAAGTTCTTCAAGAGGGATTTCCTGTAAAACGAGAAATAATCCAATATTACTATATTAGTATTAAACACTTCAAGATTAAGTGTCATTTATTTACAACGAAAATATGAGATTACCTGTTTTTGACATTTATGAGCAATGATGGAAAGAACAGATTTAGCTTTTATACCTCCAAAAACAGAACCTTTTAAGGTTCTACCAGACATGATGGCATGAAGTCCAAACGGCACAACAGGTTCAGCTGCTATACCAACTGCAATTGTTTTACCTGTTCCCTATTTACAATACAAAAATTCAGAACCACGAATTAGGATCAAATACTATAAGGCTATATTGATTACCATTTTTGTGGCTTCCACAGATTCGGTAAACATAGAAGGAGCACCAGTACATTCAATACAGTAATCTACACCCATTCCGGTTAACTCTTTAACCAAATCAGAAGTAGATTTATCAGAAACATTAGTATTTATAAAGTGTGTCATTCCAAAAGCCTCTCCTTTTTCTTTCTTCATCTCATTTTTGTCAACTCCAATTATCTTACTTGCTCCCATCATCTTGGCCGCACTTATGGCCTGCACCACAAATTTCAAATCAAGTTTCAATTTCAAAAGATAACATTTTTATTTTATTTTATAGCATACATCATATATTATACATACTCCTAATCCAACAGCCCCAAGACCAAAAACAGCTACGGTTGAACCGGTTTCAACGACGGCTTCCTTCCAACAAGCTCCATAACCGGTTGAAAAACCACATGAGATGAAACAAGCATGAGCTAAGTTTATGGTTGGATCAACTTTGAGAAGGTAGTTGACATCAACAACCACATACTCCGACCATGTAGCACAACTCAAAACATGATACAGTGTTTGGCCTCGTACCGACAACCTTGATGTGTTATCCGGCATTAGACCATTCAATCTTAAAGGATGTGTCAAACACAAATTGGTTTTTCCTGAAACGCAGTTCTCACATTCTTCACACTCCCCTATGTATGTTGGAATTATCAAATCACCTTCCTTTAGATTTGTTATTTCATCACCAACACTTTCTACAACCCTGCACCATTTACAAAAAAGTCATGATGCATCAGTCATTTAATAGTTATTCAATGAATTAGGATATTTGCTTATAATAGTAACGAGAGTAAAGGGAGATGTAAATAACTAGGATACAGCACAAAAAGTATTATTATTACCCAATTCCTTCGTGTCCAAGTGCCAGAGGAAATTGATTCTGCAAATGAGTCAACAGTAAAATCAAACATAGCGTATACAAAATTTAAATTATGTGACCGAGTAGACTAACATGTGGGAATCCTTGAAGGCTTGAGATGTCTGTATGGCAGATACTAGACCACAACATCTTAACTCGAACTTCTGTTGCTTTAGGTGGTTCCACTTGTATCTCTTCCACTGTCACTGGCTTTCCTACACCCCAGCATATTGCAGCTACAATCCAATAAACACAAATGTATCATATGTTGTTGAATCACATAATGAATCTAAGAATCATATGGTATACCTTTGCATGTGATAACCTCTTTGGCTCTTGACATTGTTGATACAAATGCAATGAAATCTGAATTTAGGCTGCAAAAAACACACAACGTATAGTTTGTTGGGAAGATATTATATATGTTAATGCTGCAGCTCTTTTATAGCCATAAAAAAAGCCACTAGTTCAACCATTTTCACAATGGAATACAAAATTTGTTTTGTCAATTTGTAATTAAGTTATGAGCCTGAATGTGATATTGATTGATATCTTATCTTAGTTATGGTTTGTTATCACCGCCTACTTTGGCAAATTCTTATATTACCCATTTGAAAAAGTTGGATAATTTCACCAACTTAGTTGTAAGTACCTTTATTGTATTATTATATAATTGCAACATTGCCCCAAATACATTAAATGTAAGTTTTTAATTCAATTGAGTGCTCTCACTCTTTCACCCTCTATTCCATAATTTAGACCCTCCCTTTATTTTTTTCTTAGTTACGTAGTTCATAACTTCCTTGCTTTCAAACTAATCTATAAATGCCACTATTTTTTACTTTTATAACAATATTTTTAAAAAATATTCTTGATATTTTTAAATGTATACAAATTATATTAAAATAAATTATTAAGCTATTTATTATATTTAAAAATAAGCTAATATTAGTTAATTGATTGTATTTTAGAATTACATTACCTTTAGATTTATCATTTCTCTTTGTTAAAAATTAAATTAAATTGAAAGTAAACTTAAAATTTGAATTAACTCGAATTTTTAATTGATTGAAGATTATATGGAGAGAGATTTAAAATTGGGTGTCAAACTAAAATTCCAATTTTTAAAAAATAAATAAGAAAAGAAAATTTTAATTTTTTTGACGTATGAAAACTTTAATGTAAATAATAATAAAACTAATGATTATTTTACAATTATACGGATGAAATTTGACAAATATTTTTGAAGTTTCAAAGCTAAAATTCAACACTAAGTTGACATTTATAGTCAGGTTAATATTATAAATTGATCTAACAAAAGAATAAATATTATTTAGCTCATATTTTTCTCAAATACCATATTTATAGTAATTTCTAAATAACATAAATTATCACACTAACCTGTAAAAGTTATGTTCTGGCTGGGCCCCGGGCTGACCACGCGGGCCCAGCCCAATAATGTTCCACCAGACCCTATCCAGTCCGGGTACCGCGTCGGGCACGAGTTCTCTGACAAGCCCGAAAGGCCTACCTGCGAGGAAGGCCTACCCCAACTACGTCAGGCTGGAGACTTCCCGCTCGGCGAACTCTACCCTCCGAGGACAAGACCTGCCCCCCTGCGGGCAGAACCCGCCCTCCTGGTGGGCAGGACAACGTGTCCTTCACACGTTCTCCACGTGCTCCCCTCCACGGGGACACGTCACCATCCAACTGCTCACCTCCGAAAGAGCAGGTCAAACCCACTTTCGGAGTTCACGGAGTAGTTGAATTAGGGCGAAGACCACGTTCTGATTTTCATTACGCCACGTAAGTCCTAGCAGTCACTAGGGTTGGGCCTGGCCATCCATACCAACTCAAATGACCGTTGGCCCAGCGATGGGGTCTCTCTATAAATACCCTCTTTCACAAGAGGGCCAGGTAATTCACTTCTTACCCCATTTCTGTACTTTGCTCTCACTCTGCCCAATTCCTTACTTTGGCATCGGAGTGTCTTGCAGGTACACCCCCCTTTCTCCTCCTCATCACCGGTGAACAGATAGCCGTCCAACAGCGTGTGGCCAGCCCATGATCCCCTACTGATCAGGTCAGATCAGTGGCGCCGTCTGTGAGAACGGAAACTTCCCCGTTATTCCGAGCAGAAAACCAAAGTTTCACCAACACTTCGCGATCATGGCTAGCCCACACCGCGACGATACTGTGACACCCTAATTTTTTACCAAAAGACGCAGTAATATCGAGTGAGATGGCGTTCATTCTTATAGTCAATCATTATATATAGCTAACCGTTTTACCCAACTTGTTTATTATGTGAAAGATAGGTTACTGTCAGAAGTTTAAGGAATCACGAAGTGGTACACATAAGGGCTCATTATTCAAAGATTGGGGTTCATGCCATCTTGTTGGCGGGAGTTGTCTACCATTGTTCAAAATACAACCCAATAAGCTCCATATCATGGATTCGTGAGACTAAGAGTTCAAGATTCATCCATTGTGCTCATGAAGTGCAAACAAGGGGGATTTCAAAGTCAAGTCATGATTTAATTCGAAATATCCACACAAAAACTTATGACAAGAGTTTCATCTGTGAAACTTACCAAGTTAGGTATTCAAGATCCATGTCCTTTTCAAGAATTCAAGACAAGCACCACACCTTTATTATGAAAAGTTTATACTACAAATATAATCAATCTCATATCAAAATATGCTAGTCCACCTGCTACAACGACTATATCATCCCAATTTTCATTCTGATAGTGAATCACTCAGAATTTCATCTTTTTTTGGGTAAGGAAGAAATAGCGAATCGAGTAAAATCCATGTTAGTCATATGTTCGAGTACGTGGATCTCGCTTTCAATATTATCATCATTCAAGTCAGAATCCAAATTGGTATCAATCTAAATTTCAGCGTGATACAAGAACCAACACAAGAGGACATGCTAGAATCATGTTAAAAAAGCATAAATATTCAAGAACTCTAATTGATGCCAAGTTCAATATGAAATAATCAAGATATAACACGTCGTTATTATCAAAGCGGAGTATACAATAACAATCTCTACATCTTCATGCACTTATTTACATGACAAATAATGACACCAGAAAATTTACAATATGAATGAGACGTAGCAGCTGTACAAATTAACCCATGTCCAATGGTTCTTTTTCCTTTATGCTGATGTCCAAGAGAAGAAAAGGATATGAAATGTGATGCAGAACAACTCAGTACCCGTCAAATCTCCAAAAATAAATTTGCAAGAGTACGGTGGAGAATAACAAACAGCGTAGCCGCCGTCACCCAAGTATTAACTCTTCCTCAACAACAGCCACCAAGACCAAAGTTACTTTTGCTCATTGTTCAACTGCGGACTCAGTTCAACCTCGCGACGTTCTTGAAAATCCCTGCGAAGATAATAGAAATCAGAGCGTATTTTGCTTTCAGATAGGTGCAAAGAAAAGTACACAGCTCAGAGGTCAAGCTACTCAGCTGTTACAAATAGAACAAGAAAACTGCAGACATAATTCCCAGGAGAATTTGAGGGATACCATAGTGTCAAGACTGCGTTTTCAAACTCCAGCCCTGTTGATTGTAGAAGTTGTCCCATATCAACCAGCTAATCCCCAACTGCTGCACCATTATGAGAAGGAAAACGGTAAATGCTGTGTGAGAATCAGCTATCAACATCATGCCCAGCTATGAAATAGATTTGTAGCGAAAGTTATTGACCACTGCTTGTAATCCGCACCTGACTGAAGCTACCCTCGAGAACCTCATACCTTTACTCTTCGCGAAGAATCCACCTACCCTCAACGGCCAGCTGCTAATTGGAAGTTACACTGCTCGTACTGCAAACATCTGCATACGGTTTGTTAGGCTCAACACATGCCATCGTTAGTAAAATCAGAGAAGTATGAGATACGTGAAAACATTAGGATCACATGAGCAAATTCATTTACCATTCAAGTTATTATTATTTTAAGGCTTTGGTTCCTCAAGCTGTAAATGTCGTAATCATGACCCATTCAAGTTTCAATTCAAGCATAAGAACTCAGATACAGAATTAAAAGGTTTTCTTACAAGGGGGAGAATGACAAAATCAAAGAAGAGCAGGCTGCATCAGTTTTCATTCGAATTTATTCAAAGCATACAAGTTACCTTCTATTATCTTGAAAAGTCACAGGAAAGGAAAAAGTGCCAGAGGATCACGAGTATACCGGAGAAATCGTGTCTAATACTTTCAATGTGCCTGGACTGTACGTTGTTGCGCTTGCTCTGGTCGTTGGCTACACAATGTTTGAGTGCGAGATAACATGACTTGTAATGGATGAGGGAGACGAGGTTATGAATGTTGTAACTATTGCGATGGTTGAAGGATAGATATCATTTGGAAGTAGTCGGCATCGTGATTTCGTAGATGACCTGTCCAAAATCGTAGATAGATAAGTTTGTTGATTTAAGAGGCATTGTAGAGTTGAAGCTGAAGCAGATAAACTGTGAAGTAACAATCAGGTAAAAGAGGCTTTGCCTCAACCAGAATATGCTCCTCCGCCTGTAATGATGTATCTTACTTGACGTACCATTCAACGCAACTGCCTTCATGTCTACAAGTATCCATTCAACTAAACTTTGAAGTTAGTATTCAAATGAAGATGTCCCTGCATTACCAGGATTCAAAAAAACTTTAAAATTCAAAGTATAACAGGGATATGTATCAGAAAACGCAACTGCTATACCATCAATGCAAACTCAGCGTGTAAAAAACATAACTCATCAAAGAGTCCACTTGCCATATACCACCATATAATATTAATGCAACGACACCTCAGGAGGCTTATGTATTGTATAAAATCATCCTTTCGATAGAATGGAATTACCTTCAAGACATTTATTATCTCTTGCCCAAAGGGAGAAGAAGCAGACTTCAGCGGTTACCCAACTTTTGTTCGCAACAGGATAGACAAATTAAAGAAGATTTAGGACGAGTCTGAAAAAAAGAAAAGGCTTTGCCGCATATTCTCATTCATCAATTACCTTGTCAAGTTCAAATATCAGCACACCGTGGTGTTTCCTCTTCCAAGAATTCACCAACCACGCCCACTACAACAACTTTTGCCGTCGATGAAGAATTGGACCGCGGCCACGGCCATACGCAATGCGAAGTTTATGAAAGGAAAATGTCCAACTCACATCAGTTCAGAGAAGAAAACAGAACCAGAGAAATAGAGGTTGAGATTGGAAGGACTATACCTTTCATCATCAATTCTTAGTGAAAAGCCCTCACTACACGCATTAGGCACGAATTTCCTTTTGGGCTTCTAAACCGCCTCCTGGCCCAGAACAATC